ACTTTTTTTTATTGTTGATTGATTAGTTGATTTAATTTTAAAGCCTTTCCAAAAATTGTCACAAGTGTCCATTCTTCATACATCATCATCATCTTCTTCTTCTTCTTCGTCTTTTTCTGCTTCATCATCATCATCGTCGTCATCATCATCTTCATCATCACCCCATTATAATCACTTCCTTGTTTCCGCTATTTCTTGCGTATCCATATGCGTGAACAGAAGATTAGGAGGAACGAAAGAGAAGAGAAAAATGAATGAATGAATGGATGGATGGATGAATGAATGTACGAAAGAACGAACGCATGAATGAACCTGATAATGGAAAAATGAATAAACAAAAAAAATTTAATTTAAACAGAAAAATAAAATAAATTAATCAATAATAAAACAAAGGAATGAATGAAGAAACGGAAAAGAAAGAAAAGAGAGATGACGAAGAAAAAGAAAGAAGGGTATACAAAAAGAAACGAGTTAGGGAACTCAAGACGTCAAACTGAGAGAGAGAGAAAGAGAGAGAGAGAGAGAGAAATAAAGAGAGAAAAATAAAGAAAGAGAGAGAGAATTCAAGTGAAAATAAAAGAAAAAAAGAGAGAAGAAAGAGTTAGAGAAAGAGAGAGAGAAAGAGAGGGAGGGAAGGAAATAGAGAGAAACAAGTAACGAAAAAGATGGATTAATATTGTTCAGCGGACAGTTGAGCAAAAATTTCATGACGTGAAAGCAAAGCACTTATGACTGATGTACTCCCAAAGTGTACACCACTGTGACGTCACGCTGACGTCATCATCGGACGAGGTACGCATACGCGGATTTATGTGTACACAAACAATAACACACGCATGCGAAAAAAATGTGTCGAGAAGAAATGAAAACAAGTTTGTACACAAATAAATATACATACAAACATACAAACAAACAAACAAAAATACTTACATACAAATGTACCTACTTATACATATATACATTACATACATCCATACATTCAAACAAACAAACATACATACATAGAAACATTCATACATACACACAAACAAACATACATACATACAAACATATATACAAATAGACATACACACACAGACGTTTAGGCTGTTACAGTCGATAATTCATAAAATATTTACAGAGATGCAAAAACCGAACCTCGTAAACTTCGGCAACATGTGCTCGTTCGCATATGGTTAGGTTGTTTAACGTGCGTGTGTGTGTGTGGGTGTGTGTGTGTATACAGGGGTTGCTTTGATGTTTTAGTTTGATGTTTTTTGTTTTTCATTTTATTGTCCTTTTATGTATTTATTTAAGGGTTTCATTGTTTTAAGAGATTTTTTATCGTCTTTATTGCTTTTGCCTACCTCTTTATGTTTGTTTCACTGTGTGAGTTGTGTGGGTTTGTTTGTGTGTATGTGTCTGTCTGTCTTTCTGTCTGTTTGTGTGTCTGTGTGTGTGTACATATCTTTCTCGGCGAACTCTGTAGCAGAAACAGGGCATGTGAAAATTTTAAGTAGGAAAAAGCAAAAGTTGCTATTTGAAAAAAAAATTCATAATTGGTTTTCCACACAAAAATTTTTTAGACAAACAAAAAATGTTTCATACAAAAAAAAGAAAGAACACCAATACAATTTTTTAGACAAACAAAAAAAATGTTTCATACAAAAAATAAGAACACCATGATAGTTTAAATGTAAATTGGAAAAATGCTATTAGAGAAAAGCTTTATAAGAAATTACGCTGAAATTTTTTTTTTTTTTGCTAAAGAAATCTTTGCTTTAACCATAAATTCTTGAGAAACTCGTTTTAGGGTTCATTTCAATGGGTTTTGATGTAATTACTTGGATTTATATATATATATATATATGTGTGTGTGTGTGTGTGTGAGTGTGTGTGTGTGTGTGTGTGTGTGTAATTCAGAGCTGTGCGGTTTTAGGCAGAGTCTGGAGTGTCGTTATGAGCAGTTACGGAACGAGACGAGACGAAGCCAGCTATTTGGAGAACTCAGTTTTGTTTTGAGACATGAAAACATTGTTTTAAGTAGAAAATATACAAAAATTTTGCGAAGTAAGCAAAAAAAGCTCACCAGATAATGACCATACCAGCAAACATTTTGTAGTTTTTGGCTTCATTTGTATCAGATATTATAAAAACTGCATCGAATTTGATTGAGTTCAAAATTAAGTTTGATGATTTTAGAGTTTTACAATAAAATAAAATTTAAAAAATCGTAAAAATTTGAAATAATTCAGCGGAAATAAACTTCGACGCCTGTGATGAACTGAGATCCTATTATAACATTGGAACCCAATCACTCCACACACTGCAAAACAGGACCAGGCGACTTTAACCTCTAGGCTACCAGAAAGAAAAAGAGAAGTAGAGGTAGAAAAAGGAATAAAGAGATGAATGAAATAAAATAAAATGAAACAAACGAAGAAAAGTTTAAAAAAATTCTTCATGGAATGAAAGGTCGAACTGTTGCTGCTGATGTTATTGCTATGAATAATTTTCTTATCAAAACACGAGTAGCCCCACAGTTTAAGCCATTTCAAAAGAGATCTATTAGTTGACTCCTGACTGATAAGATCTGAATAGCGTCGGGGATCATCTTTCTCCGTTTTTGTATTTATTTACTCACTTATTTGTTTAATTTTGTACTACTGCCTTGCATGTTGTAACAGTTTCTGCGTCTATCAGATCCTGATTTTTAAAGAATAATAATAAAAAAAAACTTATCAACCCACAACTTCGTTTCAACACCATTTCTTCTTCCAGTTGAATTGATTCCATCCATCATTTTATGACGCTGTTATTATTACCACTATTATTAGCGCCATCACAACCTTTGTTGTTAGAATATATCCATTATCATTTTGAACCCTCTTCTCCGTCATCTTCAACTGCCTCTGCTCCAACAGTCAGCAGATTGTGGCATGTTACTGTTGTTGTCTTTGTTGATATTGCTGTTTAGGTTTGACATCAGACAAGTTGTAAATCTTCCCATGGCTTGTTCTCATGAAGATGAACTCAACATTCGGTATTCGAACATCTAACTTCTTGTTCGTGTTAAAATAAAACTTTTTTTTTCGCGTTAAAATAAAAAATTTTTGTAAGGGCTTTCCATACTTTGCAACTTTTGTTGCCACCAGTCTGAAACTAAACTTTTTTTGCTTTAATTAAATTTTTAGTTTAATCTAAATTTTATAATAAATAAATAAATAAATAATTAGATGAAACATGTATGATTACGGCGATGAATATTATCTGGAAGAAGACAAAATGTTGGTTTTTGATTAAAAAATTTTCTTTTAAATTTAAATAATTCATTTTCATTTCATATGTTGCACCTGGCACTTTCTGCAAAATATTTTTAAATGAAATTGATTAGTTTTTAATTAACTAATTTTATTATAATTATATATATATATAAGGAAGAGACCGTTATATTTATATTATAATTATATAATATATATATATATATGTAGATTGTAGATATACAATTTTATTAAATTGATTTTTTTTACTTTATATTTCAAAAAGTAGAAATTAGGTCTGTTATCTTTGTAGCCTTTGTAACAAAAACTTCATTTCATAGTATTTAAAAATCTAATTAATTTGATTAAAGTTTAATTTATTTATTTTTATTAACCATTTAATTAATATGGTTAATTATTTATATTTAATTATTTAGTCATTAATCTTGTTTTAGTTTATGACCTATACCCTTATTTAAAACCCCACCCACAGGGGTATGTCGGTGACCTCTGGAAGTGTGACCCTGCAAAAAGATGCCCAGAATTTGGTGGGGATCAGTATTGGAGGTGGCGCACCCTTTTGTCCCTGCCTTTACGTTGTCCAGGTTTACGATATAGTATCAATTATATTGATTGAGCTCATCTTCAAAACAGTTTTCATAATTTTTTGACAATTTTTGCCTTACTTTATGTTCTATACCTCAAAATAATTTAAAAAAAAACACTGATTATCAAATAACTTATAATCTTAGTATCAGTCTACTACAATTTCTTTCCCTAATTTTTCTCAAGGTGTTTGATAACACCCCGGCTGCCAGGGATGCGTCGCTGGCCTCCGGAGATGAGCTAACGGGAATCAACGGGACCTCGGTGAAAGGTCGAACGAAGGTCGAGGTCGCAAGGATGATTCAGTCTATTAAAGGGGATGTCACTGTTAACTACAACAAACTACACGCAGATCCGAAGCAGGGAAAGACTTTGGATCTCAGTGGGTTTCAGTTTTTTGTTCTCTGTTTTGTTTTGTCTTTGTTTCTTTGTTTTTGATGTTCAGTTTAATTTTGTTCTATTTAATAATTTAATTATTTATAATTTTTCCTCGATTGTTTTTTACAGATTTAAAAAACTTTTCCATTTTATTCTTTTTTACATTATATTATCATTCCGTCCATTCATTCATTCATCCATTGTTATCCTATCTTTCACTCCATTAATTAATTACTAATCACTAATAAGTCATTACATTCATTCATCTATTGTTATCCCATCTCTCAATCCACCAATTAATTACAAATCGCTAATAAAGTCATTTCATTTATTCATTCATTCATTCATTTTGTTATCCTATTTCTCAATCCACTAATATAGTCCATTCATTCATTCATTCATTGTTATCCTATCTTTCACTCCATTAATTAATTACTAATCGCTAATAAAGTCATTTCATTCATCCATCCATTGTTTTTTCCATCTCTCACTCCACTAATCACTAATCAAGTCCTAAAGAAGATGAAGCACAGGGTTGTCGAGACGATGAACTCAAGCACGGCCGATGCCCTTGGTCTTAGTAGAGCCATTCTTTGCAATGGTGTGTGTGTGTGTGTGTGTCTGTGTTTGTGTGTGTATGTATTACATTAATTCTTTGTTATATTTAGAAAATTTTTCCTTTAAATGATTATTTATAATTAATAATTATTGAGAATGATTCCAGTTGTGGTGATATGTTAATAATGATAAAACGCTATCACACACATAATACACACA